CCCCCCCCCCCCCCCCGCTTCAAGCCTGGCTGGATGGGAAACTGGTGCAGCAGTTTGACACTGGTTTAATGTCAGAGCAGCCCTGTGTAAAGGCTGTACTGGTTTATCGTCCTGTCTTTGAGGAGTAGAGAGGTGCTTAGAGAGTGACATTAGGCAGAAGGCTGCCTGGAAGGCCCCACTCTGCCCCGCTTTGGCGTGGATGCATCTGCCTGCATTGCTTGCTTCCTCCGTCCTGGGTTGCAGCCTCCTCTTGATTTGGTATCACTTGGCAAACAATTGTAAAGACCCCGTTGGCATTTCTTTGTGCATCGCTGTGCTTATCATGGATTAGCAAGCGTTTCCCAGCCTTTGCCAGTGAGTTTTGGGTCTGGGCACCACAGCCTGACACTGGCTATCGATTCTTCCACTCGGGCTGAAAGCTGCTGGCCGATTCTTTTTGAGATGCAATGGGGTGTATTAGAAGCATGAGATCAACGCAAGTGAAGTCACCTCACCTCTGTATAGTGACATTTCTCCCTGCACGTGTAGGCTGTAAAAGTGCCTGCCTGCCTATGGTACTGTGGGCCAAAGTTAAATGGGTTTAGCACCGGCGGGTGCAGAAACGGAGACTGCAGTTTACATGCGACTGTTGTGGGTTCGGGAAGTGAGTTTATCTAATCTAATAAAGTTTATGCCAGTGTCCGATGGCAGAGAAGAGCTGGCGCTGGATTCCTGCGCTCGGGTGGAACGGACTCTGGATGCAGCCCTCTAAACCGTTCTGAATGGAAAGGGATGGGTGGGCACCGCTCCGAGCGGCTGCTGACCCAGCCAGCTTAGCGCACTCGCTAGCAACAGAGCTATCTCCAACCGCATTTGCAGCTCTCCAGACGGATGCCCTGCCTTCCCCAGTATCCTGTAGGTACCATGTTCCAATCCACCACTTTCCACAGATGCTTTCATTTTCACTTTGTCTGATCTCAGTTGGCGGTTGCTCCTGTTTTGTGGCTGGCTGTTCCCTGAACTTGAAGGAAACTGTATTTTCTTCAAAGGCAGAAGAGCTTGCATGCATTCAAACAGACGACCTGAATAATCCTCTGATACCTTGCATACCTAGCATTCCCAAGTGGGGAAAAATAAGGATATAAAGGTTGTTCCCCCCCCCCCCATTTAACAGCAGTGGAGAGGGGGGGAGACTCCCCTTCATCGTAGCCATCCTCCACCAGCCACTAGGCTAGCTGTCCCAGGCCACAGGGTGAACTGCCACAAGCCCTGATTAGCGTGCGCCTTTCAGAACAACCACGGCTGGTGGGAGGTGGGCACGGCCGCTCCATGGAGTTGTGCAAAGTGCATCCGAGCCTCGTCCCGGCTGCTTCCATGGGGCGGAGGGGCACTCGGCCCTGTGTGACGCTGCGCCTTCTCTGGAGCAGTTGGCCCATGTGATTGCGTTTCTCTCCCCCTGAGTTCACACCCACCCCTTGCACGCCTCCTCTCAAAGCCATTCTCCTCCTGGCCGGCCCCCGGTCTTTCCCTCTCCCCGCTTTCCTGCCCTGCCTCAACCGTGCCTTTTCTCCAGAGGCCCTGGGTGGCAAACAGAGAATCAATCTGTCTAGCTGACCGGCTGATTCATAGAGGCAGGGTGGAGAAAAGAAAGAAAAGTGTGGGATCACTTCAGGAAAAGGAGGGGGGGGAGGGGAGAGGCAGGGAACATTTTGTTAAAGCGGCAACAGCCCTTTTCCCAAGCCTGGCTGCTCGGCCGAGCCAGACCAGGGTTGTTTTTAAAGGAGCTGGAAACCCCCCGTACTTTGCCCTGGTGCGGTGCAAAGGGGCGCTTGGCAGGGAGATTGCGGAGGAAGAAGGGCAGGGACCTCCCGGCACACACGTACACGCACTTGAACAGTAGCTCGCTAGGCCCAGCAGACAGGAAATGGAGTGGGACCGATCGATGGGAGTTTTGCTGGAGCGAGGCCTGCCCGGCGAGGCGCAGCGGGGCTCAATCCCTCTCTCGGGTTTGCACCTGGAACACGGTGAACCTCCAGGCTGCTGGACAGGGTTGCGCTCAGTCCCGCTTGATGTAACTGGTCAGAGGCCTGTGTCTTCGGGTGGACCAAGGGTCTGCCTCTGCATCGAACCCCCCTGGAGCGGATGCCGTAATGTCATCCCTGGGGAACGGCTTTTCTCCGGGTGTGGGGAGCGCCCCTTCCTTTTTGTAGCACAGATGTGCCGGTGGCATCTGGAATGCTTCTCTCTCCCCCGCCCCTGCCTGAAACTTAAGCATCTCGTTTTAGAGGCCTCAGCGCCCTGTTACTTTCAAACCAGCCGTTCGGCAGCACTCAGCAATTTCTTCTCCTGGGGTAACTGGCCTGAATTATCCCATCCTGCCCTGCTCTGTTTCCTTGCAATGTGGATGCTATGGTGGAGTCCCCTTTCTTGGTGTCTCCTGGGCAAAGACACATCAGCAGGACGTGCGTGCCTCATGAGCGCTTCAGGCTTTGCAACATAAGGTGCTTGAGAAAAGCAAGTAATATTAAGGTTAAATGTTACAGGCACGGTACTGCTTAATGTGCTAGACAGGGAACCATGAGGACTCATCTGGGTTCCTGACTGGGCTATAAACTTCCTGGGAGCTCCTGAGTAATTCTTGTTAATCATGCCGCATTTTCCTGATCTGTGAAATGAGGATAAGAAGCCTTCCTCTTTCCCACCCATTGGCTGTTTAGTCTGTAAGCTCTTTGGGGTCACACTGTCTCACCGTGTGCACTTAATCCCCTGGCGCAATTGAGTCCTGAACACAATAAGGTCTCTAGCTCTTTGTGTACTACAAGTGACACCACGGTGCTCCTTCCAAATTGCCTTGCAGTGCTTTCTTCTCCGTCTTCCCCTCCCTGGGCCAGATCTTTGGGAAGTGGTAGCCTGCAAGAATCTAAATTGCAGCAATGCTGTTGCATATTGTATTTTAGTTGCGCTGTAACTTCACCGTGAAGATGATTTAATTAAACCTCAGTGCTTAGCTACTATGGCAAAGGTTGCTCTACAAAAGCACATACTTAATAGAAATAATGGGTAGGAGTTAAAACTGTTGGTGCCAAAGGATTTCCCCTAACATCCAGTTTAGTGACACCCACCTCTTTTTTTTTCTCAGGGTTGTAAATGACTGGCTTTTCTCTAAAAGTTGAGGCTAACCTATTTTTCCAGCTCTGAGGTAGACTCAGCTCTTCCTTATTAGCCGGACATCCTTGCACCTATCAGTTTTTTAAAAATAGTTTTCTTAGGGCTTGTTC